AAATTGGAAGCCAATTTGACGGCTTTATCCCAACCCGAGGAGAGGTAGCGAGAATCAGCCGACCGAGGCAACGGCGTCGTGGAACACCCTTCGCCGACGAGGAGAAGAACCAACGCTGCTGAGCGTCGGACTCACGCCGCCATGCCCTCACATCCGCCGTCGAGCCCACACTAGGAAGCCCCAACCACAAGGAAAAGGGCGGCTGCCGCTAGCTAGTCACAGACAGAGGTCGCCGGTTTGTCATCGTCTCGTGCTGGCGACTCTCAAAAAGCGCTACTGAGGAAAAAATGAGCAGTGGCCATTGACCCGACACCTAAGCCCAATCCATCGGCAAAGGAGAATGCACAACCGCGGGCAATGAGGACTACCCACCGATGATCCGGTGACTTCGATTCCCCCTATTTTGATTTATATAATAGGAATTTAGTTTGGGGAGGGTTGTTGATGGGTATGTATGTGTTTCATTTTATGTGCATATATTTTTGCTTTGGTCTGTTTTGGTTAGCTGCTGTTGATTTGTTTAGAGTCATGCCTAGTTGTTTTTGCTGTTTAGTTGCTTTTGGTTGTGGTTGAGTAGTGAGGTAACTTGACGTGGAAAGTTGGGAATTGATTGTCTCGGAAAAAATAAAAAATAAAAAAAATGATAGTGTGAATAATGAATGTGGAGGAGAAAATAATAGGTGTTGAAAAAAAAAGAGTAAAAGAAAAAAAAGAGATTGTGGGTTGCAACAGTTGTCAGTCTGTGAAGCTTTAATGCGACACTCTAGCACGAATAGCTAAATAGACTGTGACGGAGCTGCTGTTCCCAAGTAAAAGAAAAAAAGAAAAAAAAAAAGAGAAAAAAAAAAAGAAAAAAAACCGAGACGTTTGATTTCTGGCTAGAAGCGAAGAGGAACTAAACCTGTTGGCAAAGAAAGGGATGTCGTTAATTGCATGATTGGTATACTCGGTGTAGAGATTGACAAACTGCAGTGATTCACTGTATTGATATTTGATTGTTGGCGTTCCAAAGATGATTTCATTTCGAGTCCTGGGTTATTACTTTGGGAAGTTGTAACTATGCACTATGTGAGATGTGTGAGGACCTAAGCGAAAATTCCACATACTTGTTTGTTTTATCCGTTTTTTGTGTCTTAGTTCTATGTTGCTTAGGGACAAGCAACGGTTTTAGTTTGGGGAGAGTTGATACGTGGGAAATCTTGTATTATTTTGTGAGATAATTTGCATATTTGAGTATTAGATTTTAGTGTATTATTCAAGTTTTCTCATGTATTTTATTTTATGAACGGACATAACCAATATTTGGATTTTGTGTTTATTTTACAATTATTACTCCGATTTGCGACGTGGCAATGATGAGGTGGCTAATTAAATAAATAATGAGGAGGATTACAAGTTAACTTGGCCAAATACATGCAGCATGGGGATCTCAAAATTGATTGGTGGAACTTTTGATTAGTGAATATTATTATTGGCTAAAGGATGCAGAGTTTAGTGACACTTGGACTCTAAATATGTTGGGATTGAGAATTGATCGAGGACAATTAATTGAGAGGTATTGAAATTTTGTGGGACTCTTAATTCCTATGGACTCGGCGTGGCATCAAACAGAGAAAAGGGGAAATTAATTCATTCATCTGGGGAGGCTTGGACACACGTGAACGGAGTGCGGGGAAAGGAGATCAATCATTCTTGCTCAACAATTTATTTGTGCCGTGTGATCAAGGAGTTTGTTTTTATTAATTCGTGTTGATTTATTTCGATTGAAGACCATGTTTAATTATTATTATTTTTATCATTTAGCTATGTGTAGCTAAACATTTGGTTCTAGGGACGTTGAACCCTCGATGACTATGTTTGATTAATGCTATTTATTTCGTTTTACTCGTCGTATAAATTTTTTTGTGTTATTCTAGTTTCATGTCATAATGTGTGATTTTTAATTTAGCTTGATCACCTAAGTTAGGAATTGCATGTTAATTGCTAGAGTTGAGGCTTCGATTCGTAATTGTCGTAGTTCTTAATTCAATTGTAGCAACTAACAGTCGTGCATTGTTAGGAATAACACAACATAAGTTACATGAACCGAGCTTATGTGTTTGTGGCTTAGATCGGTCTATTTTTCTAGATTTTAATGCGACTAGTGGATTAAATTATGAGAGCTTGTTCCGAGTTATTCGCTAGTTAGAACTAATTGAAGAGCCTATTTCGATTAAGTATAAATTAAGGGAAAATTCAGGTAGCAGAGCTTATTGCTATCTAGGATCGGTAGTTTTAGAAGACGAGTGAAATTTGATAAATGCATTAATTGGGCTAGTTGTTCGAGGGTGTAGACAGACTTGGGACCGATTTCATTCTCATATTCACTAGATTATTTATTTATTTTCAATTTCATCATCATTTGCACTTTAATCATTTATCTCGAGTTCTAGTTTAATTTCTTGTTCCGTTAGTAGATTCATTTTTAATCAAAAAACCCCCCCTTTTACTTTAATCTAATTAATATAATAAAATCACGGTTTATACCGCACTCCCTGTGGGATCGACCCTTGCTCGCCACTACTACTAGTTAGTAGGGGTTAGACGAGGAGAATTTATAAATTCAAATTCGCCGTGTAACGACGCGCGGTCACTAATGAAAGTCACATCAAGTAGAGTGCTCTAAAACTACTGGTTGAGGTCAACACAAATTTTTCTAATATCCATGAAGATGTTGCTTTGTGTATTATGGAATTTGATCAGAAGAGCCAAAAGAAGGTGATTGAGGAGCTGGCTCTGGAAACTATGGAAACTGAAGAGGACTAAGGGAATAGACTAGCAGAAGAAGGTTTAATCTCCTCTCTTACTCAAAGTGGGAGGGGAAAGCAACATCAAAAAGGATGGAGGAGACTCTCTGGTCAGGAGTGAAGAAATACTAGAGGCCAAAAAGGGAAGGGAGGTAGTTCAAAATCTGG